AGAGGGGCAACTGGACAGAATCCGGCGCCCCGATTGGGACTAGAACCTGGTGTGCCGGCGCCGCTAGGCGGAGGATTAGCCTAGTGAGCCGCGGCGCTGGCCTGTTTTTCATTTACATTTAAATATTGACTAGCATCACTAACAGTACATTTCAGATCGTTTGTGGAAAAATGATTAAAACATACATTTATTTGGGGGCAAAAATTTTTGAAATTCTTGCATTCATTTTTCCTAACGTGCATTTTCCACAAACTTTTTGAAAGTACCACGAGCCTTTTAAACTAAAAACACTTGTTTCACAAAAGTATCACCCAGCGCCTTTCTTAAATCAGTTACTCTCAACTGAGACAGCAGGATATTCATGTACATCTCACCATCATTTTGAGGTGTGACATAAGTAATTTGTCACCAACAATTGTTAAATTACAGAAGTTTGTGACTCATTAAAAAAATTACTGCAGTCTGAACATCACCCCTACAAGAGTATCACACCCACTTGATCCCAGTATAGTTACTTAAACGTGAGAAGGGTGGGCTAGCTCATCTTGAGAGATGGTATGTGTGATGTATGCCTATTACTAATATTCCATTAATAGTAGCAGTGATTTTAATTTATTTCTGAGCAGGAAAAAGAAAGAAAAATGAAGAGAGATGGTAAAACCCAGAGTGGTCCCTGAATTTGTACCCAAGTTGCACGTGCCATAAGCTGTACAGACCATGACCAAAAACAACTGACAGTAAAATGGAGCCTCAATAGCTTTTTAATGTCTGCTTCTATTGGGGGAAATATTTATCTTTGCATAGCTTTTTGAGATTCCAAGAACTGCGCAAAGCAAGGTGAACCCATGTGTTACTTAATGAAACTGTGCATGGTTTACAGTACACAGGGGGGTGAGGTAGCAGCTCTGAATATGTCCCAAAGCAGTGTCAGTTCTACAATAAGACAGCTGCATTGATAACCTGATCTAATTTAGCCAGAAAGCTATACCGACCTGTTGTCTAAGTAGGAAATATAAGTACGTGCTGCATTTGTACACATGTAAAATGCTACGGTTGGTTTATAACAGCCTATGTTGAAGTCACACAAGTGAAAGTCATCAGCCATGGTGGATCAAAGGTCAATGTTTAACAAACATTTAACAAGTCATACCCAAAGTTCAGAATCTTTGTGGTTTTGTGAAACGGGTGAAAGATTCATGTCACCTCTAAACTTTTGGCCAGGCATTCTTTGCACTGACTTTTAAAAAAAATTCCATTTTGATAATAGGCTAATGTTGAAGGAAACCTCTCCCCCGCCCCCAGGTAATTGCAATTCCAAGGTGAAAATGAAAAATTCTGATAAAGCTCACAGCCTTGAGAAACACTTCAAGTGGCTTATTGCCTTAGTCTTCTCTTCTTTCAGTCACTTATTATCAGACAGAATTGAAGGACATATTCTGCCTTTTGCTCTGTAGGCTAAATACTATTCTCAGCAAAGACCATATCTGGTGACTGGAGTATTTCATTACTCATAATCTGTTTGCCCCTTCAATTCGAAGGACTCAAGATATGCAGAGTGCATTTGAAGGAAGAAGTCTGTCTGTTGGCTGATGGGATATGTGGATGTGCACAAATTATGCAAAGAGAAAAGTTACTCTCTGCATACAATGAGCCAAATTATCCTCATGCTTTGCAAAAGAAGTTTTTCCCCTCTTCTTTCTTTTCACAGCTTGAATAACGTTTAGTTGAGATTTCAAGTTCTTCTTGGTTTTCAACCAACAGGTGTGAGATCCAACAGGTGTGGAAAAAGGCCAGGGCATCACAGATGGGATCTCTGGACTTCCTGGTACACATTTATCTGTGGCTATGGTTGCCTTGTCACTGGCCCTGATTTTAGAGGAAGGCCTCATAAAGACGGCAACTCTAAGACCAAAATAATGTCATTTACTGTCTAGGGGAGGTTACAAAGCGGATTAGAGGCAGGCAGGCAGGCAGGGTATATTAAACAAGTCCATGACTAACAGGGTGTGACAGAAAAGAGTTTTATTCTTTTCAACAAAACAATTCCCTAGGGCTAGGACCATTACTCCACTGTGCCTTTATCACCTTGGAATTTTTATGGTTATTTTTGATGAATTCACATTTTTGTAAAGGGTTTTTTGAAATGATGCCAGTTTTCAATTTTTAATTAAAGTCATAAATAATCTTAATTCTGCCTTAAAAGGTTTATTGTTTCTTTTTTTTATTATTGCTGCCAGGAAATATTTCAAATACCAAGTCCTGATGTGAGTGAGCAATTAGAATCTCTCCAAGGTCTAGTAACAACATTGTACCATGTAAATACGACCCACCAGTATATCAGCACACGACTTGGAAACGTGGATTAACTGATTTCAGGTTTATGAGCAACTGCCTCTCCTGGGAGTGACACTTCTTTGTGTTGGATGGAACAACTTTGATCATTTTAAGTTCCACAGTTTAACCCATCACAGATTCATAAAAGATTTTTTACATGTTCAGACTGAGAGGCAGGGTAAACTTCGGAAAGTTACCTCTGTAAACCTGTCACTGAGCACTGGGCAACGAAAGCCCAGCAAGTGCAGTTCAACCATTTGCAGGAAACAAAGCCAACATCAATGCTAAAACCTTCGAGAGACCACATCTCATCTTCCATGTGACAAAAGTGAGACAGCACTGCTGTATCTGACATGAGACTATAATCCTGCTCCTCAAAAGCACACCCTTGGTACCCTGCGTGCCTACTCAATGTTGCCTGCAGATGATCAATAAAGTTGCATTATACAGTTTCAAGGTCTCTTTTACTTTTTCAGTTAATGCTTCAAGAATCTTTCTAACAATCAAAACTACTCTTCCTTTCCTGCTCAGGCTGAAACCCACCCATGTTGGAACAACAGAAACTGCAAATTTCCTGAAAATATCCCATTCTCTTTCCACAATGATCAACCCAGGTTACCTTTTCAAACTGAGTATATGATTGTTGCTTATTTTTCTAGACAGGAGCCTTACATTCTTTTGTGTCCATGACTATTGTCAATGTTCTACAAAGGCAGTCTCTAACCTTATGAAAGATTTGCTATTATAATGAAACCTTACACATTTGGGACAACTTGGAGGAGGAGAATGGTCAGACTCAGAGAATAAAACCTGTCAGCTCCAAGGGTTTTAATATATATATGTAATATATATTTATATAAATATAAATAGGTATATATATAAATATAATATATAAACATAAGTTATATATAATTTATTACCTCAAAAAATATAAAGAGAGAGATAGAATGAGAAAAACCATTAGACCATGGTCCTGCTGACAGTACTTAATAATAGGAAAAAATGGTGCTTTATTTTAAAAAAATTAACCATCTTCCTTTCAACATCATTAACTTAACACTTCCCTTGCTTTTCCAAAATCTAAGAATATAGCCAATCCATGCCACAAGATTATAGATAATATTTCTTGGGATCCCAACTAGAGAGATTTAACTATATTTCTAGAAAAATCAATGGACTCACATTAAGGAGTAGGTTTGTATGCAATTAAGAATAACAGGGTGAGCATCTGGCACAGCTGTGCCAGAGACACTGCTCTGCTGGCTGCATTCTGTCTGGGAGTGCCTGGGTTTGTGTTCTGGCTCTGCTTCAGATCCAAGATTCCTTCTCATGTGTACCCTGGGAGGCTTGATGGTTCAAGTAGTTGGGTTCCTACCACCCATGTGGGAGACCTAGATGGAGTTCTGAGTTCCTGGCCTCGGCCTGGTCCAGTCCTGGCCATTGCAGGCATGTGGGGAGTTAGCCAGCAAAGGGAAGGTCTTTCTCTGTCTCTATGTCTCTGCCTTTCTAATAAAATAAAACAAATAAATAAACTTTTTAAAAAACATTATCTACCAACGCCTTCTAACTACATATTTTTTTAAGTTAGGGAAAAGGTCAAGTTCTTTCCGTATATGAGCCTTCAGCTGGCATTACACTAAGACTTTTCAAGGAATAAAAAACTCCAGTAACAAAAGACTACAGAGAATTTCCCAACATAGAAGTGTTAAATCCCTATAAACCATGAAAGAATGCAAGATTTCTAACTGGAAGCCATGGTGACCTCAAAACCCTTGCCACAGTATTCAATCAACTTGAAATAAGTTAAGTCTCATACTGTCCTTAAATTTGTTATAAATGGTCCTTAAATGAATCAAGTATCCATCTCCATACAAATGAAATACTCAAAAAGGCAAGCTCAGCTCAACATGTTTTATGACATGGACAGAAGATACTAGCTGGTCCAAAAATTTAAAAACTCAGTTACTTGGAGATGCCTTGAAAGATAGTAAGTTCCCTGTGTCTACAGATGGTGAAACACAGCATAGTTAACCTCTTATACGTATAACAGGAGTTAGGAGAGGAAGCCAGGTAGTTTGGCTGGTTGATCTTTAATGTTTCTTCCAAATTATTACAAAAAATTACTATAAATTTTGAAAACTGCATTAATCCCTCATTAATGTTAAAGTTGCATTCAGTTCCATTTCTGTTTAAGATTTTCATACATAATATCCATCAAAAGACCTGTTTTTTCTCTACATTTAAAGTGAGGAATACACTACAATTATCCTAAAATAGAGATTTACCTATTTTCTTCATTATTGCCAAAATGATTTTAGTCAATCGACAATTTATGAAAAAGCACTTTTTTCCAGAAAGGGTCTCTGTTGTTTGCCCAACTCAATGTTTCTTTATCTCTTTGGATTTCATTGCAGTTAAGATGACTTTCACTAATTTTCTTTGATTTCTATTATACAAGCCTTTTCCAGAAATCCTTATCTGGCTCTGTCAGCTATGCAAATCATAGGTTTGCTTTTAATTCATGGAAGACTTTCCCTTACAAACAGTTTAAAGCATGTTACACCTTGAGAAGTGAAAGAATTTCCAAAGCCCTGCAGAAGCTCTGAATACAGCAAGAGTAATTTAAATGTGCTTTTCCTGGCTGGAAAATTCTCTTTTAAAATTACCTTTTTCCTTGCTTGTTGATCTTTGGAAGAATGTGCCTTCACATGCTTTCTTAGAGAACTTGGGTCTGTGTAGCGTTTGGTACATCCTGGAATTTGACAAGCATAAGGTTTCTAAATAAGAAAGAAAGAAAGAAATGGCCGTGGTTAAATCATAAAGGTAACTAGGGATGGTTTTACTCAAAGACTCTTGACTTCAAAGTATAAGCTGTTACCAAGCTGACTGATGTGGAACACTGGGTAATACTCATGCATCTTAATTAGAAAGACCACTCAATTTGCATCGTGACAAAGGCAAGAGTACACAAAGAAATGGCCGATCCTTGATGATTTTTAAGAGATTGTTGTAGATTGCACTCTAACCACAAAACTCCTTGAGGCATTTGTTTAATGTGGAAATTATTAGTAAGCATCTCCAGTCATACTTACAGTTGTGTTTCCCTGAGAATAATCTTTGGTATTGTCAGAAACTAGTAAACACATATTCTTTAAGAGTTCAGGTAAAGAAGCTGTAGAAAAGTCCAGAAAAGACTGGGTATGTTTCAGAAGAAACCTGATTTAGAAAGAGAGAAGGAGAGAATTAAGAAGGGAAAATTAGTGTGAAGTGAGCAAGAGACAGTAGCTTTCAAACAACAGACACAGGAAAAATCAGCTGGAGAAATATTAATAGTATTAGTTGTGGAGGAGTCCTGGAGCTGAGCCTGAGTAACATGAATTATCCCTTGGCTGAGTGTGATAAGAACACAAGTTTCAACTATTTCAGTTCCCCTGTGGAGCCCAAAGTTGAGTCTAGGATTTTTTTTTAATAACCTTAGTACATAGTACCTACTAGTCAGGAATGAATAAATGAGCAAATGACACATCTCCTATACGCATTCAAATTTCGGCACCTACTCCTACCATAATGACAACACAAGGGTCTGAGACTACAACTCTTCAGTGTGAGATAAATCAAAACCTTTGGCTTATTCCAAGAACTGAAATCCAAACAACCCCACAGATGAACTGTTTTTGAGACATATTCACTGTCACTGGTCTTCTTAGAATCTCATCAGGTGAGCTATTTGAGCTGCGCCTACCTACATCACATGAAATGTATGAACAATAACTGAAACTCTGTCTTTAAAATAGGATTCGTGTGCTGGGAATCTGATAGATTACAAACCAAAACAAAACAAAACTGTTTATATGTTGCTCTTGTCTTCATGTGCATGCGTGTCACTTTGTGGGCCAACATGTATGTGGTTTATAGTACCCTGCTGCTAATCATATTTGCGACTCACTCCCTCCAGCTGTAGTTGTTGCCATTTTGGATTCTAAGAACAACGTGGAATTATGAATATATAATGTAATTTGATGTACCTGATTTGAATTGCTTGACAACTCATGTGTTTATTCATCGATTGACTAGATGACCGAATTAGCCAGCAGCTCTTGTGTTTCCAAGATGTACTGGGTACTTTTATATGTCAGGAGTCTAACAATAAGCAGTGGATGGACCATGCTCTTGGTATTGAACAGTTTTTACAAAAATGGTGAGCGGATCATTGGTAAAAGTCAATTGCTAATGGAATTTCCACTGGATAAGTACAGATTGCCATGAACTGGGTTCACATGGCGTTCTTGTACTAGCCATCCCTACCCTGGCCTAGCTTTAGGAAGAAATCAGCCAGTTTCTTTACTAGCAGCCACACTGTGATCACATAAGCTCAAGTTGTTAGCTTTAGGGGAGATGCTATAACATGTAAAAAGGCTTTGTGCATATTAATGTGTTATACAAATTCATGTTACTAGCATTACCATTCATCACTGATTTTGGTTGGCAATGTTAATTGTATTTGATTTTGAGATGCTCTTGGAGAAAGCTTGAATATGCACCATTCTTCCCAGCTGGTCTTCACCCTCTCGCTTGCCATCCTGTACCTGGGCCCAGTATGCAAAACAGCAGAGACCGGTCTAAGCAGTACTGCGGTACTGGTCATTTCATCTCAGATTACCTAGTTTTAAATGGCACACTATACTTCATCCAACTAAATATTTCAATTTTTTCCATCTTCACTATATAATTACTTCACTTGTTTAGATATTAAAATACTAATAGAGAAAGGAATTAATAAAAGTTTTCAGGTTAGAATTATGAACTCACTAAATCCTATGAGTAAAGAATCCACTTAGTTGAAGAAAGATACTTTATCCAAAATTCTGACAGCATTAGCATAAGGAGTACTTAATGAAAGGGAACAGGGACCTAAAATTAAACCACAAATTCTTCAAGGAACTAGAGTTCACTTTTTAAAACAAGTGCTTAACTTCTATATGTTTTTAAAAGAGCTTACCATTTTGTTAAACATAGTAAAAAAAAAAAAACTGAAACAGGAGCTAGTATGGAGCTTAAAGGGAAAAAATGTTGTTTTTAAAGATTTAACAGAGAAATATCTTTTTCAAAAAAATAAATGAGTTCTGAAAGCTGCTGCATGGAACTGGGACCAGGACATAAGGTCGTTTTCCTCAAAAGTTTCAAAAAGGACTATATTTTTCTTAATTCCAAAAATGATTTCTGAAAATGCCCTTAGTTTGATTAGCTAAAATTAGCTCCAAGCAAAGACAGGCTTTGTAGAACCATAACACTTTGCCTCACAATGGTTCTTTCAAACTACAGATAGCTAGCTAGGGGAGAAAGCAATTTCTCAAGACAATCTTGTCTCATGAATGTTCATTCTTCCATGATAAAGTTTAATGACAAATTGGAAAATTTATTGAATTCTACCAAGACCATCTTAGACACAACAAAATAGGGCATTTTAACATAATTTATTCTTCATTCCTTTTTTACTTCAAAAAATTCCATTATTCACCAAATTCATTCATTTAATATTCTATTCCATTGGTCCCAAAATCACTGAATTCAATTGAGCTAGAGTAGAAAGAGTCCACCCTGGGTGTACATTGCTCTAATTATATTTCAGATATTTACTAGGCAAAGCATCACATTTATGTATATTAGGAGATAATTCTGTTCAGAAAGGTTATGTGACATATATCCAAATGACTTCTACCGATATGACTAATAGAGACTAATATAAAATTTAATAAATATGTCAACTATAACATCAGAAGAATCTTAAATATGTATGAGAAGGTGTGTAGAAATAACAGTATCTTTTCAAAATTCAAACGCCGGTGTAGTTTAATAATAGACAGCAGAATGTTAACACTGAGCAAGTACTGTCATGAATACATTATTTGCAAGAACGTGGGATAAGAGATCCGGGAGGTGTATAATACATTGATTCTGATGGCTTCGTTAAGCAAAGTGAAATTACCTAGAGTCTATCTGGCCTCAGGTATGGAAAACTGAGAACTGCAAAGGAGGGCATTCAACATAATTGAGAAAATAAAAAGATGCCAGTCTGCAGAAAAGGCATTTGTGAACGAGTGACAAGTTGCAGCATTAGGGGGGTTAAAGTATAGCAAGGAAGGGCAATGGTTCTCAGAGGGTTGCTGTCAAAGGACATGTGGCTGTTAGCACACAAAACATCATGAAACTGAACTCTGGGGGAAGAGCTGTTATTTCTTTGTAGACCATTTGCAGGTGAAAATACCAGGTGGTTTCTGAAGCAAAAGGCCACATGTACTCTCAAAAACCATGCCAGCTACAGAGTTCTTATGTCAAGAAGAGAAGAACTAGCCAGGGCACCCAAACATGCCACATTTCTAGCAATAGCAGACCCTACGTACTTTGCTATGTGTTGATATTTAAATCCTTATTGTCATGCCCAGTCACTCACTAGTGATCTTTCTCTGTATGACATCTACCACATGACAGCCCCTGAAGTGCTGTCCCTTCGTAAACACATGCAACCAAGAAGCTTCTTCGCACCAGGAAGTTGTGATATTTAGGAGAACCTGCAACTACAGAAAGCAAAACCAGCAGAGTGAGGCCCCTCCTGCCCTTCATTCCACTGCTGCCCTTGGCATTGTTCCTGGAACCTGCAGACCAGAGAGCAAACCCTTTCACCATCTCACTATCAAATGGGCACTTCCTCCCACGGGGGCTCTGGGCTGCTGGAAGGCTCCTGCCCTTCTTACAGTGTCCAGATGTGTCCTCTGGTGTTTGGCGCGGTCACTGGAGTTACTGAACGCCTTCTGGCAGCCTGGATGCTGGCACAGGTACGGCTTCTCGCCCGTGTGGCTCCGCAAGTGAATCTTGAGATTTTCGAGCCTTGAGAAGGCTTTTTTGCAACCTTCAAACTGTAAAAAGAAAAAGAAAGCAATTTTTTTTGTTGTTGAGGAGGACCTTGAATGCCTGAGTCTGGGAGAGTGGAGAAAAGACCTTAATTTGCACTTAGCCTCAAATAATAAAATAAAAGCCAAACAGGAAAGAGTAGGACTTCTAAAAATAGCCACATGTTTATGTGAACTGCATTTTTTCCACAGAATATACATGCCACTTTCCATACCAGATTTGAATCTCAAATTGATTTCTGTGATCACTTATGTCAGAGAAAATTCTCTGTGAGCCATCTGGCTTGGTTAATGAAAATACAGTAATGTGTGTCTTAACAATTTATTAAAAATTAACACACTTTTCCATTTCCAAATCGGTCTCAATTGAAGGAAACAGGAAGGAAGAAACTTTTTGACAACTAATAAACTAACAAGAAAAATCAGAATGATGTGTGAAAAAAAGAGAATTGAAGATCTAAGAGTCTGGGATGAAAAGGCTTGTATCCACTGGATCAATATGATCAGACATTTTCTTAACTCTATTTGTAGGGGTTTTTCAACTCCCAATAGAATGACCATGTTAACATTTTGGTCAATGTCAAATCTAATGAGATAAAGTTTTTAAAAGGAACTAGAAGACAGATGATTCATTTATCACTAAATCATTTTCCAAATAAAGTAACATTTTAATTTTTTCCATTTTTTAGAAATTTTGTTATCTAATTCATGAAGAGAACTGAAAAAGGAAAGACTGAAGATTTCAATGAATGCATCTTTGGTTTGTCAATAGTATTTATTGACAGTAACATCTACTTAATGTCTTATTTGGGCAAAATATCAGCTACTATTATAGGGTCAAAGTGATTCCAATCCTTTGAGTGACAAGCGAAAGAAGACAATATGTTAGAGAAAGCCTACTTATGAAGCACAAAAGAGAGATGGGGATTTCCTTTTTTAACTTCTCTTTGGTGCTAAGCCCCAGAATATTTGTTACTTTGACAATTTTAACCCCATTTGAGATATCACTGAAAGGGAAATTTAGAAGCCTATGGAACAAAGCAAATATGCTGAAAGCAACCAAGAAACCTCACTTCTTAGTCTGGGGAGGGAAAGAACAGAGTTAAGTGAAGAAAGGTGAGTTAGAGATAGCTCCCACTGAAACTTAGCAGGTAGAACAACCTAGCAGCAAGAAATTTTACAAAACTCCTTGGTTCTCTTACTTACTAAAGTAGAAGGGATCACCCAGAGCTGGTCCTGGCTACTGAAATTTTCATTTTTAAGTAAAGGATGAAGTAAGTAGAAAAAACAATCAAACATGTCATAATTCCATCTATTTAAGTTGTCCAGATTTTGCATGGTAGAGTATTTTAAGAAATTTATGAAAGTTGCACTTATTTTTGATTGAGAGTTATACATGTTTCACAGACATATGTTGGTTTATTTCAATTTTGATATTTTGCTTAAAATAATTTTGGTGTTTTCCTGATTTCTATTTCACATAAAATAAATTTAGCCTGAACATAAGATGAATGCTGAGGAAGCCAACTACGTTCTCCACAGAGTGAAAGGCATATATAAGGCCATGTTGCTGGAAGGAAAGGCAGTTAAGGGGCTTCGTTCTGCAGGTTTCCAAGGGGTGTCAAGTCTGAGGAGAGAGGGGCTCAAAATTAAGGCAAATCACAGCTAAGAGGCCTCTGACGATCAAAGCTGTTTTTAAGGTTCTCTCTGAATGACCACTCAGAGCAAACTCCCGGAGCTCGGTTTGTTTTCCTTGGAATCACCTGATGGACCACACTTAGGTCTGAAATGAGCTTGTGGTTTTGGACACGCCACGCCTGTAGCTGGGTTCCTAGCAAGGCTCTTTTGTAGGGTCATTTCCAGTCTGGGGCCAGCTCCAAGGGTGCATACTCAGACCTTTTCACAGTGGCCTCAGATCTTGGTCAGAGAGAACGTGGCATTGCTTCAGCACCGGCATGGGAATGCAGAACTGTTTTTGAATAGATTAATGAAGTTTCTTCTGGTAGCAGATATAATAAGACCCTTAGTTCTACCACAGAGTGATGAGAGGAATCCAGGACATATCCTGCATCAGTTCAAACTGTCCACGTGATTAGCCATGACTGTGGGCAGACTAGCCTTTCCAAGGTCTCTTCCATAACGCCCTCGCTTAGATGTCCAGTTACAATTCAGCCAACTGATATTATTACTATTAACAGAAGCAAGAATTGAGGACCAAAGAGCTGGCTGCACACAATCCAAGCAAATCTGTGAAAAATGAACTATTTCATCTACACACATCCTGATCATTTCCAGATAGCAAGGAGCAGCAGAAATAGGAGCACTCAGACTGGAAAGGACAACAAAAAGATGATCTGAAAAATAATGCGAGTCAAGCTGATTTCAGAAGTTTCCTCTGGGACAAAAAAGTGCTGAAGACAACAGAGCAGCATTTCCGTATTTCCAGGAGCAAGATGGAGAGTGAAGGGTTTGACCTCAATGAGTTGTATGAATAAGGGTAGGAGAGGACAATTTTGTGTATGTAAGGATTCATGATACACACTGCCCACTCATTATTCTTGAAGAAATTCACTTGCAGAAAGCCATGAACTCCAACTCAGTCTAGTGAAATCAGGTTCTAAAGGATTGACACATGGCTTGGTGGGGGGCCTAGCACCCAACGCATCTCAGGAGTGTGGAGGGCACCACACTTGAATGAACTTGTCACACTGACAGTTCTGCAAGGAGAGGAAGGAGGTGTTCCTTTCTATAATGGCATCTGGATGGAGCTTGAAAGCAAACAATTTTATAATGAATCATTATCATTCATTATGGGAATAACCCTATAATTCAGCACAAGAATTTCCTCTCCCTCAGGCAGTTTTAGCCCTAGATTTATAAGTTCAATTAAATGCTAATGCATTAAAAATAAACTAACACTTAGGTAGGTTTACAAAAGATTGTTACAAAATACACCACAAGTGGATTCTTTGGGTGTTTGGGCAAATAGATGGCTTTTATCCTTCTTATGTTTTTCATGTTTCTGAACTTTAACGAGTGTATCTTGCCTTGTAAATGTAAATTGCTTGGCAAAGCAAGGACCTTTAACAGTGTTTCCTTGGGTTGGGTCAGAGGATTTCTCATTGACGCTCCTACAGTGCCAGATCCATTCTGAGATCTAATGTCCAAAGTGTCAACTGACCACTCCCTCTGTCACTGCCACCAACCAACTGCTACATAAAATGAAGACCCATACCGCTTGGTCTTTTTGTAGTTATCTAATAACAACTGTCAACAGTACCACAGTGCTTGTGCTAGAGCATCTTTATTTTATTTAATAATGACCCCAAAACACAAGAGCAGCGATACTGGCAACTTGGTATACCAAGAAGAAGCTATAAAACACTTCCTATAAGTTAAAGCATAAAGTTTCTCAACTTAGAAGAAAAAAAATATACACTGAGGGGGCTAAGACTACTGTATAGTAAGATATTTTGAGAGAGAACATTCACAGTATATTGTTTTAACTGCCCTACTTTATTATAAGTCATTGTTGCTAATCTCTTCCTGTGTCTACTCTGTAAATCAAGCTTTATCATAGGTATATAAAGAAATAAACTATATATGTGTACAGGGTTTGGTCCTACTGCAGTTTCAGGCATCACTGTGGGCCTTGGAATACATCTCGCATGAATCAGAGGGCAGCTACTATAAATATGTTGCAGAATTCACCCATTTCTAATGCATACAAGAATTTTGTGGTCTAGCATTGGAACAACCATCGTAGGGCTGAGAACTAACACCTCCCAAATGGGAAAAAATTCCAGAATGCCAGTCTTACTAGAGACTCCCGGCGATGAGAAACCTTTTATCTGCCAATGGCCATTTGGATTTTTTTTAAAGATTTACTTATTTATTTGAAAGGCAGAATTACAGAGAGAAGAAGACACACACACACACACACACACACACACGGGTGGGGGGGAAATGGCACAAGCCAGGAGCCAGGAGCTTCTTCCAGGTCTCCCACATGGGTGCAGGGGCCCAAGCTTTTGGGCCATCTTCTACTGCTTTCCCAGGTCACCAGCAGTGAGCTGGATCACAGGTGGAGCAGCTGGGACTGGAAGTAGCGGTCATAAGGGATGCTGGCGTGGCAGGATGTGGCCTAATCCACCATACCATAGCACCGGGCCCCCATCTGCATATTTATAAGATCATTTGTTGGCCATACATAATGGTCAACTTAAACATTAGCCTGCTACATATTCAGATCTAATGAATTTTGAGTTCCACCAGTGGTTGTCTTGTCAGGGCCAGAACAAATGATGGCGCATGGATTAGACATTCCCCTCCCCTGCTAAATCCTCCACTTCTTAATCTGCTGTCCAACAGATGCCCACCTCAAAACAGTTATGCCCTTAAGTCCTCCCAGGGCCTCCTGACCAACAAAATGTCCCACATTTCTACTGCCCATTATGTTCCTTCATTGAGAAAAAGCACTGAGGGGGAACCATCGTTTTCCATCTGCTCGTTTCAGTAGCTTTACAGACGAGTAGGAGAACAGTGCATGAAACTGTCAGTGACAGAACTTTAAGTCCCTTGGGTTTTGAAAATACTGCACTGCATGAAGCCTCACTCAGAAAAATCTCTTTAACTCTGAGGCTGTTTTCAAGTAACAAACTTTAATTAGAAATTCTAAGTTGCCTCAAACCTAAAGGACCTTAGCTTGCACCACTTTGTTAATCTAGAGGATTATTTCATATTTAAAGAATCACAACTGGACTATAATCACCATCTATATATATTGGCTTGATTACGGATTGCTGACATTAAGTGGCATTAAGATGACCTTTGAGATATTACTTTCCCTTTCTATTAGAAGCTTTTGTGTAAGGTTCTAAAAATGAAAGGCTCATTAGACACCATTAAAATGGGATTTAATCCGTATGTGTAACCAATAATCAAGTAGAGGACTGCTCCCTCCCCTCAGCAGCTAGGGAGGGTGCTGAGAAACACTGTTTGTATTC